CACAAAAAAAGGGGGGGGGAGGGGGTTTGTCAGGGCAACTCATAATCTTAACAGGCCAGAGAGGCACAGCTGAGATGAGCGACCGAGAAAAGAGCTTGGCATTGAGAAAGAGGGAGGGGAGGGGGGTCACTAATTAGAGAGAGAGGGTGAAAGAGGCGTGTTATGGGAAGAGGTCACTGGAAGCACAGGCGGGGGGGGGGGGGTCACGAGGCAAATGGAGTTGCGTAAGGCAACTGTCAGTCCCTATAGCAACGAACCCCCGTTATAGGAGGGTGAGGGGTGAGAAATGTTTGCTTTTTATTTTGTGTGTGAGTGAGGGTGTTTCTGTTCCTCTCCACTGATATTGACAGATGGGACCTCATAGAGATGCACCCACTTGACCCTCCTTTGTCTTCTGTGACCAAAAAATAAAATAAAAAAAATCTCGGTTACAGAGTCAAACGTGTCATTGTGAAAGAGAATATAGTCAAGTATTGAGTAATGTGAGGACTTCCATAGGAGGGGAGGCAAAAATGAGCAATGAGCCCTAAATGTGCTTTGCAGAAGGAAATGAGGAAGCGTGGTCTGGAGAAGGTCGTGAATTTAAACTCGTATTGTTATCTATTTGTGCCTCTGCCTCCATGTTGCTGTGATGCGATTTCTCCGACCAAAACCTGGTGGACCTTGTCTCACGACTTTTTTTTTTTTTTAACTAAGGCACAGAAACGCTTCTTTTCTCAAAAGCTAAAAAGAAAAACATTGCTCCACACTACCGCGCACCTCTTTCAAAATCACTCCAGCAGCATGTAATACAATTGTTGTACACAGACGACACGCTGTGTATCCCTTCCTCCACCTCATAGCTTTTATTGGATCAAGAAGTGCACCATTGTGTGGGGCATACAGGCCCGTGTGTTGGCTACATCCCTCCCCCCTGCTATACACATGGCTGCATAATAAAGTGGCTCTGCAGACAATAGACAGAGGAGATGTGGGAACCTGCGCCGCCTGGCACTGGGCTCAGGGAACCAATCACAGTTGTTCTCATGCGACAGTTGTTCTTGTTCGATAACCGATACCCCACCGTCTTGCCCGCTATGCCTCCATATGGATTATTAACTCTATATCTGATTTCTTTATGCATTTCCCTCTGCCTTGCATGCACCCCCCCACCCCTCTCTTCGTCTATGCTCACTTGCTCTCTATCTGTACGCAGTTGCTCTTTCCGTCGCTCTCTCTCATTGTGTGTAATTAACCATTTAGTGTGAAGAAGGGCTATAATTAAAAGTTTGGTGCAAGGTTGCAGAGAGCACCTCAGCTGGAGGGTTTAATGGAATTTCCAGTGCACTTGATACAAAATGCTAATTTAATTGGCTCTCCTTTTCAACTACAATTAGCGGTACTAAGGCCACAAGCGCATTAAAGTCTAAATTTGGTTTTCACAACATCTCGCTCGCACCGCTGTAACTTCTGCACTTACTTCTGCCAGTGGAGTTGGTGAAATGATTTTTTTTAGCAGTCTGTTTTTGTCTCTCCGCATCATGTGTTGGTTTCTTACCAAGATGATATCCAACAGTTAGAAATGTCTAATGTAGTTGGACAGATTGCTCATAGTCCAACTTTTTTCTTCTTCTCGCTCTTCATCACTTTTGTGGTCAGAGGATGATTACGGATCACTTGTGAGCCCCTGATCTGTAGATACAGATGTGAATAGAAATGTATGAAATATGTTTTTGGTATTAGAGTTAATAGCTCTAGAAATGAAATTCAGCCCCAACAGGACGGGCTCAATAAGCAGAGAAACCCCGTTAGTCATCCAGTTGAAATGCAATAAGCTTGCAGCTTCACTAATTCACTCTGTGGATGATTTTCCGTTGCCTCTCACTGACTGCGTACTCTTCACTTTCCTCATTTAATCTTTTACAGACACACTCCCTCATCTGAGGGGTTTCCCCACGTTTCTCTAATTCGTTCCTTGGTAGTCTTTTTCGCCAACCCCCTCCTCTTCAAAAGCACTTACCCATCCATCATGGATTAAGAAAATATCTCTCCTCCTCAAAATAATAAAGGCGTCAATGTGTTTGTTTGTTCAGGGCAGAGGGGAGCTGTGTGTCTCTCACACATACTGCTGTCCTCCAGTTTTGCCGTCTCATTTGTGTGTGTGTGTGTTAGTGTGCATACACACACTGCTTCCTTCTCAGGAGAACATTCATTCTCACTGATCCACTTGTTAAATACAGATGACACCATAAATGGCTACACGTTACCCAGCTGGATTGTGTTACAGCGGCACTTTTCATGAAACATGACAGATCATTTTAGCTTCATTGTTTTTGTTGCGAGCACAAATTAATGCATTTGAACAGGTTAGGGTTAGGTTAGCATGATTATGTTAGAGACGGATGCCATTGCTTGTGCAGGGGAAACATGCAGCATGATACATGTAGTGTCTGTCGTTACTACAACAGCACAGACACAGTATGAAGCTGCAGGGTGTGTGAGCTAAGGGATTTCTGGGTTCATCCGCCTCCACTAAGGAGAGAGAGAGAGAGAGAGAGAGAGAGAGAGAGAGAGAGAGAGA